ACTTGTTTGAACTGATAATGTGGGATATAATTGTATAAAAGAGATTTTGAAAGACACGTATGGGTAGAAGAGCAGCAATTTGGATATATGCCGGAGAGAGGGAGGGACAACGGACGCGATTTCCATCTTCAGACAGCTGATGGAAGAACACGTAGGAAAATAGAAGGAACTATATCTTGTATTGATCTTGAGAAGGCTTACGATCCTGTTCCGAGGCATGGAGTATGGATGTGTATGAGTGAGAAGCGGTGTAGGATATGTACAAAAGTGCAAAACACAAGTAACATTAGAGTTACTCTCTTAGCTGCAGTATTTCCTTTTACATAATGGATGTAATGAAAGAGAAATTAAACAATATGTTCCTAAGACCACACTTTTTGCAGATGGCATTGTGTTAGCCATGAAAATGAAAGAGAACATAGAACAAAAGCTAGAACAACAGAGAGGGGTTAGGGGAGAAAGCAAATGTACATAGTATATGTGGTAAGAACTAGATGTAGAAGCCTAACTACTTGGTGAAAGACTAAATCAAATACAAGAGTTTAAGTGATTGAGCTTCCATGTGTCACCAGATGGTACTCTTCATTTGGAAATTGCCAACAGAATACAAACTGTTCGAAAAAAAAAGTTTCAGGAGTTTTGTGTGACAATAGAATAATCGCGAGAATAAAAAGAAAAAGAAAAAAAAAGTCTAGAAAACGATAATAAGTGCGTATATTTTTGTAAACTTGATGAGTATGCATATGTATAGGTATAGTGGATATAAATGCTGTACTGTTTTGTTATTTTCTTCATGCATAAATACCTATGTATAGGTATAGTGGATATAAATGCTGTACTGTTTTGTTATTTTCTTCTTGCATAAAATCAAGACTTCAACTGTGACCATTCAGTAAATATTATGATTGTCTCGACGTGTTGCATAGGTAATAATGAAACAAAAGTTCTCCTCTGTTGTTTTTATTATTTTACGGGTAAGAGTTTATTGACCGACGACAGTACATCAATAACATTCACCAGAAAAAAAAAATCTATACACGCCGTACATTAGACGTGAACGGAAGTCCTCAGCCCAGGACCTTTTACATAGGCGGTCGGCCATATTTTGACACGCATGCAGGGGAACGGGGAGGAAGAACTTTCTAGAAGGTAGATGGAACAGTCAGTTAAGAAGTGGAATTGATTAGACAGAGGAAGAACAGGAGAACGAAACAGATTAGATATAAGAAGTGGAATATATTAGACAGAGGAAGAACGGAAGAAACAGATTAGATATAAGAAGTGGAATTTATTAGAAAGTGAAAGAACAGAAGAAAGAAATAGATTAGATATAAGAAACAGATTAGATATAAGAAGTGGAAGGTATTAGACAGAGGAAGAACGGAAGAAACAGGTTAGATATAAGAAGTGGAATATATTAGACAGAGAAAGAACAGAAGAAGGAAACAGATTAGATATGAGAAGTGGAATTTATTAGACAAGAAGAACAGATTAGACTTGAGACGAAGTCATTGAGAAAAAAATATATATATACGAGACAAAGAGAAAACATTTCCTAACACAAGTCCTAACACACCTCATACACTTAAAGCTACCTGCTACATATTGTTTACATCGTTTCTATCTAACCCGGATGGGCAGACTGCAGCTATCACACACCGATTATATATCATTTAAAAAAAAAAAAAATCCGTATCATCTAACGTCATTACTCTTGTCCAATTTAAAATTAAGTCAGTGCACCCAAATATCGATCGTATATATCACAATGCCGGAGAATGGGGGGTGGGGGATGATATGTAGGCCTATCTTAATACATTTCATCGACATGGAACATTCACCTACACGTATTTTTGATTAAGAGAACGGCTTAACCAATTTATTCCAGTATGAACACCTCATCAAAACGCTTGTAAGATATAGAATCGAGCTAATGAATCCCTCTTGCGCGCTTAATTAAGTAAACAAAGTCACTTCCAGATCGGCCATTCTCTCTCTCTCTCTCTCTCTCTCTCTCTCTCTCTCTCTCTCTCTCTCTCTCTCTCTCTCTCTCTCTCTCTCTCTCTCTCTCTCTCTCTCTCTTTCTCATTCTCTTTCTCTTTCTCTCTCTCCCTCTCATTCGGAATTCATTGCAGGAAAGCGATGATTGGAGAGCCCGTGTCTTTCTAAGGGTCTTCAGCTTAAAAAAAAAAGAAAAAAAAAAAAAAACGCTTGAACTCAAAAATGCCTTTTGGGAGATAACGGTTCCTGAAGAAATAAGAGAAACAGGTGGAACGGATTTGGTTTTCTTTGTTTATACGTAAGTTTAAGACCAGTAACTGTACAACTTCTGTATTATAGTGTGTTAAAACGTTTTATTTTTTTCACTCTAAAAAGCAGTCAGTCATTACTGTCCTCACTGTTTAATGAAAATGAAATTGCAGTACATTATTTCATTCTATTTCAACTGAAGTCATGCTTCCAAATGCTACTAACAACACATTTCCATTTGTTTTAAGAGGAGCAAACAAACGCTGAATATAAAACAAACGTGAATTTATACAGGACATTTATAAATCACGGAAGATACTACCTCTATCCCGTATTTTCTCAAAAGAAGAATATTTGCGTTGATGCCTTTATAACGTTTCCTAGCAATCTTCTACTCATCTCCTTTGGATTTAGTTGGCTGAGAGAGCGTTTGAAGAAAGTAAGCGTTGGGTTTATTTATTTATACCTTTGAGTCTGTGTGTATGTTTATGAAACGTGTATACGAGTGCGTTTGGAAGTATACGAACCTGGGCAAAATGCTAGTCAGTTTGTTCATACAGACAGACTGCAAGTAGCCATGGCGAGTGTTATCTCGTTGGGAAGATGTATCATCTCGGGCCAGTCAATAATGGTGGTTTATTTGTAAAATGCAAACGTTATCAAGTGTTCGCGCGTTCGTTTTCTTTTCCATTTTTTCCATTTTTTTATCTTTTTTACTTGCTTTCTTCTTCGCCTATCTTTTCTTTTTCTTCTTTTTCATTTTTTTTCTCTTTTTATTCTCCTTCCCTTCTTCTTCTGTTTCTTCTTCTTTTTTTCTTCTTCTTCCTTTTCTTCTTCTTCTTCTTCTTCTCCTCCATCCCTTTTCTTTTCCTACTCCTCTTCTTCCTCCTCATTTTCTTCTCTTTTCCATTTTACTTTAACTATTGCATTATCAAACTCTCTTTCAACATCATATTATCAGTTCAATAGCCATCATATATGTCCATCTTCTATCATTTCTCTCGTTTTTTTTTATACATTCTCTCTCTCTCTCTCTCTCTCTCTCTCTCTCTCTATCTATCTATCTATCTACCTCTGCTCTCTCTCTCTCTCTCTCTCTCTCTCTCTCTCTCTCTCTATCTCTCTCTCCTCTGCTCTCTCTCTCTCTCTCTCTCTCTCTCTCTCTCTCTCTCTCTCTCTCTCTCTCTCTCTCTCTATCTATCTATCTCTGTCTCTCTCTCTCTCTCTCTCTCTCTCTCTCTCTCTCTCTCTCTCTCTCTCTCTCTCTCTCTCTCTCTCTCTCTCTCTCTCTCTCTCTCTGCTTCTCACACCACGCCACAGATGCCAGATGCTAAATCTTAACCTGGGTAATTTTCCCATCTATATACAAAGAATATTTGTAACTCTCACCAACACATTTCTTATTTATTCAGAGATTTACATATCACCTGAAGACATATCGAATATTCTTCTCTTCTCTTCTCTTCCTTTCTTCCTTCCGCTTCCTTCACATTTCCCTTTTCTTTCCGTATTCTTTTTCCACATCGATTTCGTTATCAGAATATCGCTTTACTTCTCCGTCTTCTCCTGAGATAAAGAGGTTGTCGTAACTTCCAAATAACCTTGAGAATCGCTTGGGAGGAAAATAAAATAAGGAAGAAGAAATTGTAAAAAGTAAAAAAAAAATGACAACAACGAAACGCCTACATGCTTCTAAGTAATTAAGAAATAAATTTGATATACATGAACAAATATAAAATTTCTGTTTTGATCTCACCATCTTTGGTCTCCTAAGGCTTCGGAACGCCACATTTCCAAAGCTCTGAAACCGTGTCTGATTCGTAATGTCTATGTTGGCAGAGCAAATTTATATTTCTTGATTTTCGGAGAATATTTGAGAGGAGAGTTCCCTGACCTTTTCCTCTTCTGCTTCCCTCTCTCCTTCTCCTTTTCTTCATCTACTTCTTTCTTTTTCTCTTTTTCTTCTTGATTTTGATGGTGATGATACGTTTCTTCTCTTTCTTCTTCCTCATGATACGTTTGTTCTCTTTCTTCTTCTTCCTCCTCCTCCTCCCTTTCTTCCATCTGCCGCTTCTTCTTTCTTTTCTTCATTTGTCTCGTCCTTTCACCCTCGTCTTGCTTACGTTTTTTCTCTCCTCTTCTTCTTTTCCCTCTTCATTCTCCTCATATTTCTTCCCCCTCCACTTACTTCTTTGCTTTCCTTCCCTCTCCTCATCTCCTCGTTCCTTCCTCCCTTCTGAGGCTGGTCAATTATTCAGCAAATGAGATGCTGCTTATGAGGATTAACCATGAGGCAGACACAATACAGCATTCAGAGGACTCATACTCATTAAGTGGGAGAAGGTCGTTAGGGGAGGATGGGCTCAACCTCATTTTATTATATACAAACAGGTACTGAATGCTAATGAGCACTCTCTTTTGTGCGCCTTGAGAAGTTTACAAACGCTACATTTTCTCCTCTTGTTTGCTATTTCGCCAATTTGGTTTGCACCAGAAAATAAATAATGGGGTACGATAACAACCAATAAATAACGTCTGTGTGCATTACTTCCGGTTATTTGCGAAGTAATCAACTCCTAAACTATGTGCACACAGGTACACTCCCTCTCTGAGTACACAAGTCACGTACATCGACCGGATTCCGCGCCGCCAGCACACTGCCCCCACACATTTGTTTGTCTGGAAAGGTCTTCCTACACAGAGCTATATACAAATACGACAACATCTATGTCTTCGGCGCCCCAGCAGTG